AGTGGTCGGGAAAGTCGTCAGTAGGATGATAGAGGAGTGCGCGGAGGACGACTCGGCGCGGGGAAGCGGGGAACCTTTGTTGTGGATGTTGCACGGGGGGCCAGGAACGGGCAAGAGCTACGTGGTGGGCGCTTTGCGGACGCACGTGTTCGAGGGCATCATGAAGTGGAAACACGGGCTGGATTTCCAAGTGGCAGTACTACAGGCAACGAACGCGTCGGCGCTGGACGGGCATACGTTGCATGCGGCTTTTGGGATGACGCCCTTTGCGAGCGGATCGGAGAGCTCGAAGAAGCGCGGGTCGGACGGGGCGAAGAAGGTGGAGGCTGCCCGGCGAATGCAACAATGGCGGTGGTTAATCATCGATGAGATTAGCATGGTAAGCGCGAGCTTTCTCGCGGAGTTGGACGCGCATTTGCGGTCGGTCACGTCGGCGGCGCGCCAGGGGAAGGTCGACGCCGAAGGGGTTGACAGGCCGTTTGGAGGGGTGAATGTGTTGTTTTGCGGTGATTTCTACCAGCTGGAGCCGCCGGGTGGGGCGCCCTTGAACGCGATCCCGACGTCATGGGTTCGCAAAGCAAGGCAGTGCGCTCCAAGCGCGGGAGAGGACCATGGGCATTGCATATTCTGGGGCGCGGGCCGCGGGTCCGTTGCAGGAACGACGGAGCTTGTGGAATGCAAGCGGTTGGAAGGGCATGACGAGTGGTTCTTGAGCGTGCAGGACGAGTTCCGGCGCGGGGCCCTGAGCGAACGGACGCACCAGTTTCTGCACGGCCGGCCGACGGACGTCGCCGGGTCATGGGTGGGGCGCGGGCCAACGTGCGGGTCCGAACACTGCGCGAAGAACGCAGAGGCCATTGCAAGAGACAACGCGCTGGAGTGCGGGCTTTGTCAAGCAGAGCGCCGTAGACGGCAGTTGGTCGCGACGGGGCCAGAAGACGAACGATTCTTGTTGCCGGAGTTCGTGAAGGCATCAACGATTTATCCGAGTCAGGATGTGAAATGCAAAATCGCGCGCCAGCGGGCCGTGGACTGGGCCGCGAGCGAGGGGAGGCAAATTTCGTGGGTGTACGCGAGAGACGCGGCGCGTCATGGAGCCTTCCAAAAGAGGCCGTACACGTCTGCGGACAAGGTGCGGTGGCTGGGATGCCATGATAAAGCATGCGCAGACATGCCAGGGTGGCTGCCGCGGGCGGCGGGCATGCCCGTGGTACTGACTGATCATTTGGATCGGGGGGAGAAACAACTGCTCCGTGGGTGCCACGCGACGATTCACTCGTGGGTTGTCGACGAGGACGAGGGTGCAGTCGCGGACGCGGCGGAAGTGACGCTGCGGAGGATGCCGAGGCAGATCGTGCTCGACTTTCACACGGACGCGTGGACGCTGAAGAGCATGCCGGGGCCTGGCTTGTATCCGATCTTGCCGAAACAACGGACATGGTTCTTGGACGCGTACCGAAAGAAGCTTGTGTTGGGTGTCCGGCGGAAGCAGTTTCAAATATCGCCCGGTTTAGCAGGCACTGCTCACGCGGCGCAGGGCCGATCCCTGGACGCTGTCATAGCAGATTTACAGGAGGGTCGAAATGTGAGTTGGATGTCGAGTTACGCGGCAATCACCCGCGTGAAGACCCGTAGAGGATTGCTGATATATCGCCCGTTCGACTTGAAGCCGCATGCGCAAGGTGAGATGGAAGGGGCGAAACATCTGCTGGCAAAGTTGCGCGGGGAGGAGGCACCGTGGGCGGAAATTGAGGCGGAGTTGATGCCCCGGAAGATGTGCAGTAGATGTAGCACCTTGAAGGAGAAAGCGGGTTTCACGCTGACAGAGTTCAGGGAAAAGGACGGGCCATGTTTTTGTCGCGAGTGCGCGGATGAGTTGAAGGAAGCGGGCGAAAAGTGGCGCACCGAATGCAAGACGTGGGCCGCGTTGGGGCCGAGGGCGCCAGAGGACGAGGCTCGCGGAAGGCGAGTGTACGTAAGGACGAGCAAGTGCGAAAGATGCGCGGGGCCGCGACGGCGCGGAAGTCACGGAAGGAGTCGGCGGCGCGGCAGGAGAAGGTTCAGGGGAAATTCAAGATTCGGTGCGCGAAGTGCAAGAATTTCTTGAAGACGGAGGCGGAAGTGGCGGCGAACCAGTGCGACTCGAAAGATGCGGGGGAGAGGCTTTGCAGGGCGTGCGCCCGCAACGAGAAGGGTGGGCGGAACGAGAATGTAGAGAATCGCAAGCGGAAAGCAGAGGCGGACGCGAAGCCGCTGACGTGCGCGGCGTGCAAAGGCGCGTTCTCGGACACGAAACATTTGAAGCAGAAGCAAGTGAAAAATCATCGAGCGGAGAAAGGAGCTAAACTGGCGTGCAGAAGCTGCGAGGAACTCGGGTTCACAGCGCGCAGTTGCCAGGCTTATCAGTGCAGCGGCGCGTGCAAGAGAGGACTACCAAAGTCGGCGTTCCCCGACCCTCACAATGTCCCGCGCGACGCAAAGAAGGGCACCCTAAAGTGCAAGACGTGCAAATGATGCCCAATCGGTTGCGCGTACTGGGCAGAAAAGGAAGACGGGAAGAGGAGGATGGGGGGTGAGGCGGAAAATGGGGGGGAGAAGCATCGGTGAGGATGAGCTGAAGCGGGGCAGGAAGAGGAGGAGGGGAACGGGGAGGAAGTGTAGGAGGAGGAGGAGGAGGAGGAGGAGGAGGAGGAGGAGGAGGAGGAGGAGGAGGAGGAGGAGGAGGACGGGGACACTGAGATGAGGCTCGGTTATGGGGCTGGGCGCGACTCGAAAAACCGGTGTGTTCAGGGATGTCCGTTGGGATCTTGCGGGGAGGCTTCTTGCGGGCCTCTTGGAGCAGTTTCGAAGGCTCTTGGGGGCCGTTTTGGGACCTCTTTGGGGCTTCTTGGGCGCCTCTTGGAACGTCTTGGGGGCCTCTTGGGGGGTTCTTGGGGCCTCTTTGGGGCGATTGGGGGCCTCCTGGGGGCCTCTTGGGACGTAAGGCTGGGTTTTCCGGTGCGTGGTCTCTCTCTGGAGCCCCTCTTGGGCCCGTCTCCGGGAGGTTCTTGGGCCGTCTTGGGCGGCTCTTGGGCCGTCTGGGGGCTCTCTTGGGCCGCCTTGGGCGGCTCTTGGGCCGTCTGGGGGCTCTCTTGGGCCGTCTTGGGGGCGTCGAGGAGGCCTCTTGTGCCGTCTTGGAGCAGTCTTGGGAGCTTCTTGGGCTGTCTTGGAGCGTCGCAAGGCCGAAAAGGCGAAAATGACGAGAACATCGAAACAAACCAATGAAAATCAACGATTTTGGCCTCTTGCGGCGCTCCTCGGGGGGCTCTTGGAGGTCTCTTGGGCCGTCTTGGAGGTCTCTTCTGGCGTCTTCGAGCCCTCGTGGGGCGTCTTGGAAGCCTCTTGGGGCCTCCTGGGCGCTTCTTAGGGCGTCTAGGCGGTCTCTTGGGGCGTCTGGGGGCCTCTTGGAACGTCTGGGAGGCCTCTTGGGGCCTTTTTGGTCCGTATTTGGGCCTTTTTGGGCCCGGAAGAGCGTCGTGAGTCGCTCGTAGTCGGCACCCCCCCCCCCCCCCAAATCGACAGGACCGGGTTCCCCGGGGAGGGATTTGGGGAGGGGGAAGCATCTCACACGCCGATGACCCAAGGGGTCGGCGGACTCGGGATATGGGCGGCGTGGTTTGAGGAAGAAACAAGGACATAAACATGAATCCCACCAGCCCTCTGGGCGTAGGTGGTCTAGGGAGGCTCCTCTTCCAACCCCCTTTTTCCCCTGTGGGGAAGGGTTTATCATTGTTCCCTATTAATAAACACTCCCTTCCCCACCCGGCCGACAGCCAACCCGGAACCATGCGCACACCATGAGGCCTTCCCCACCCTTCAAAATCGGAGCATGCGCAACACACCCGATACGCCCCCCCACACCATCCCTGTCAAACAAATATACGGTACATTTTGGGGCAAAATCTGGAGACATGTTCGTGAGGCCCGCGGGCACTTTGTATATGTGTTGTTTTTCGACAGGGACGGCGGGGGTGTCAGCATATTGCCTGCTGCGCGCAGGGCTACCATCCCTGACAAACATACAATGCAAAATGCACGTCGCGGCCAAATATGGATAGTGCGCGGCCACCCCGCGATCATTGTCGAGTGGTTTTTGTCAGGGACGGTGGAGGTGGTGGCGTATGGCCTGCTTTTCGCAGGCTCACCAGACACAATGATGGGCATTGGTTTTCGACAGGGATGGTGGGGGCCGACATGTTTCCCGATGTGCGCTGTCACGTGCGCAGGTGCACCTGACACACTCTGCACGTGCCCCGGACGTGGCGCACCTGGCGCGGCTGGAGGGAGCATTTGGCGCACTAGGCGTGCCTGGCACGCTCGGGCCCCAGGGGTGCCTGGCGCGCGTGGCGCGCCTGGCACGCGTGGCGCGCCTCGCCCCAGCGTCGCGCACATGGGCTCGGTTTTGGTTCCCAGTAGCTGTCCATCAGAAGACGACCGCGGAACGCGCTGAGGCTCTGGTGTTACTTATGTGCTGGGAGGGCGGGTGGGAGTGAGCTAGACGGCTTGCTATCTGGAGGGTGCCTTGACCCCTCCCCCTCCCCCCTCCCCTGGACCTGGACGGGGCGCGCGGTCAGAGCATGTAAGATGGCTCAAGGCGGCTCCAAGGGGGCCTCAAAGAGCCCAAGATGACCTCCAAGATGGGTCAAGATAACCCAAGATGGCTCAATATGGCTCCCAAGATACTCCAAGAGGCCCCAAGGCCGCTCCAAGATGGCTCCGGATGGCCACGGAGCCTCCCCAGGAGGCCGCCAAGAGGCCAACAACTTTCAAAAACCTGCGGACAATCAGGGATTTGTGCTTTCTCGCCTTTTCGCTTCTGATGGCCCCCCGAGGCCTCAAGGCAGCTCCAAGAGGGCCCCTGACGGCCCAAAGAGAGGCCCAAGAGACCCCCAGAACGGCCCCAAGAGCGCTCAATAGCGCTTCCGTAGCCACTTTGGCTCAAGGGCTCAAGCAGAGCAAGCATGGCGCGGCCTCCACATGGGTGCGATGCCGCATATCCTGCGCGGATGCTCAGATATGTCATTCCAGCATCCATCGTTGGGCTTGTTGCGGTTGCTTGGCCATGTGGCACATTGGTTCGTTGGACATCTGCGGCCCTCCTTCGGATTGAGGGTCAAGACGACGAAGTTGGGACACTACCGTTGGACCCGGTGACGTGGGCGGTTAGCGTTCGCACGGAAGTTCGGGACATGACCCCCTTCTTTGCTTTCTATGCATTGCGCTTCTTCTTCCTGGAATGCATCGCCGCTCCCGGCTTTGGTATTGCCGTGTATCATGCTCTCAATTCCGGAGAAAGGCACTTGCGTATCACCCTTGTCGCTTCGGAATGCGTTAATTTTGTTTTGAGTTGGACCTTGCGATTCATGGGTCTTGCACTGCATGTCAGCATGTCGCTTGACTTCAGCGAAGGGTCTTGGCTCGTCTTCGGGATGGGCGTCAGTTCCGTGCTTTGGCTTCCAATCACATCTGGGCTCTTCCTCATGCTGGTTCCGCGCAGAGAGTGGCTGACGACATTGCTCCTCAATATTCTCGTTACGATTGTCTCTGTGGTAGTGTTCTACGGACGGGATGTGACATTGAATGGGTACTTCGTCATCGAGGGTGACCTTGCGCGTATCTGCGTGGGCATCGTTGCTCCAGCGGCTATAACCATGGTCATCATGGAGGTCTACTTTTTTCTTGCGTTCCACATGCTCCAGTTTCGTTGCTTGCGGTCCGCGGCAGTGCTGATGGGAGGGCCGTTTTGCTTCGGTTTGACTTTGGCTACCATTTTGCAGCTGGGCTCCACCAGTGTCGTCTCTGGCGTTTGCATCGAATTTGGCTCTCTGCTTGTGGAGCTCAGGTTCAAGTACTGCTTGTTGTCGGGGACGACGCCGCTCCAGAGCTTGCGAGATCGCTTGTGTTGCCTCGGGCGTTGCTGCAGCCACCGGAAAACGGGAAGGATGAGCTTCGTTCACCCAGGGTTCGACAACATCGTGTCTCTTGATCCGACCGTCCTGGGCGCACAGCAAGCCAGCAGCGGAGAGCGGGCTGGCGAGACTCACGGCGACGCGGGCCCATGCAGCAAGACATTGGACAACGATGGCCCCGAGAAGGATGGCTGCGAGCAGCAGCTGCAGCAGCAGCAGCAACAGCAGCAGCAGCAGCAGCATCAGTGTCGCCGCCATCTCTTGGCAACGATTGTTGCGTATTACAACATCGTCGGGGCCGTTGCTCAGGTAACCGTCGCAGGCTTTCTCATTGTTGCGAAGGTGCAGCCGAACAAGTCATGGTCCGCACCATTGCCTCCATCACAGATCCTCGCGCTTGTGGGGCTCCGATTGGCCTTTGAGGTTCTTGGCGACATGGCGATTACGGCAGTGGCCCACTGTTATCAACCGAAAGGTGCTCATGCTCTGGCGGAAGCACGCAGAAATTTGGGCTGGCAAGGACTCACCAGCGTGTGTTTCTTGGCCGTGATCTGGTCCGCGGAGGCGATGATGCTCTACATGACCTACCTCTGCCCAGTTCCTGTTCAACGGGGCGCGGTCGATCCGTTCACAGTCGAGCTGCTTGCCTTGGGCTTGTGCCCGCACCGTTCGCACTTGCTACAGTTGTCCTGAACTTATGGCCTCTGTCGCACCGAATGTTTGTCGCGCTTGCCTGTGTGTGTGAAAGTGTGTGTGTGTATGTGCTCGTGTCGGACAAGCTCTGCTTGCATTTGCTGAGCCTCATACGGCCGCATGCACCACGGGTATCTTGCACATGCGCATGCTCAATATAAGACCGCATCTCCAGCATGCGTCCGTCCGCATCAAGGCAGTCTGCCCTGCGCTCTCGGGCATTCTTCGTTCCCTCTGCACGTGCTCCGCTGGCTGGCGTGGCAGCGCGTGCACTGTATTTCAAGGCAGTTATGTCCCGTCCTCCGCCATTCCTCGCCCCTCCTGTGCTCGGCCAGACAGGCCAAGAAAATATGGCGACATCCAAAGACCATCACAATGTAACGTAGCACCCCGCAATTGCGGATAAGAATGAGGGGGCGGGCGCGGGCGACGAGGGCGTCGAGCCGGCAGACCTCGTGGCCCTCACCTTCCTTGTCGATGGCGCCCTCCTCCTCCGCCTCCTCCTCCTGCTCCTCCTCCTCCTTCTCTTCCTCGTCCGCGTCATCGTCCTCGTCGTCGTCGTCGTCGTCCGCCTCCTCCTCCACCTCCTCCTCCTCTTCCTCCTTTTCCTCCTTTTCCTCCTCCTCCTCCTCCTCCTCCTCCTCCTCCTCCTCCTCCTCCTCCTCTTCCTCCCTCATACCGATCCTCCCCCCTCCTCCTTTCCGTCGTCGTCGTCCTCTTCCTCCTCCCCCTCCTCCCTCCTTTCTCGTCGTCCCCCTCCGTCCCCCCCTCCTTTTCCTCCTCGCCCTCGTCGTCGGCCTCCTCTTCGTCCTCTTACTCGTCGTCGTCGTCGTCGTCGTCTTCCTCCTCCTCCTGCTCCTCGCCCTGCTCCTCCTCCCCTCCTCCGCGGAGCGCGCGCGCGCCGGGGTGGTGGGTCGCGGTAGTAGTAGTAGTAGTAGTAGTAGTAGTAGTAGTAGTAGTAGTAGTAGTAGTAGTAGTAGTAGTAGTAGTAGTAGTAGTAGTAGTAGTAGTAGTAGTAGTAGTAGTAGTAGTAGTAGTAGTAGTAGTAGTAGTAGTAGTAAGTAGTATTAGTAAGTAGTAGTAGTAGTAGTAGTAGTAGTAGTTAGTAGTAGTAGTAGTAGTAGTAGTAGTAGTAGTAGTAGTAGTAGTAGTAGTAGTAGTAGTAGTAGTAGTAGTAGTAGTAGTAGTAAGTAGTAGTAGTAGTAGTAGTAGTAGTAGTAGTAGTAGTAGTAGTAGTAGTAGTAGTAGTAGTAGCAGCAGCAGTAGTAGTAGTCGTCGTCGTAGTCGTAGTAGTAGTAGTAGTAGTAGTCATCGCGGTCATAGTTGTAGTTGTAGTAGTAGCCGTTTTAGTAGCAGTAGCAGTAGTAGTAGTAGTAGTAGTAGTAGTAGTAGTAGTAGTAGTAGTAGTAACAGAAAGAGTAGTTGTAGTCGACGTAGGAGTAGTAGTAGTAGTAGTAGTAGTAGTAGTAGTAGTAGTAGTAGTAGTAGTAGTAGTAGTAGTAGTAGTATTCAGTAGTAGTAGTAGTGGTAGTAGTAGTAGTAGTTGTTGTTGTTGTAGCCGTAGTAGCAGTCGTAGTAGAAGTAGTAGGATTAGCAGTTGTAGTTAGTAGTAGTAGTTTGTAGTAGCAGCAGCATCATATGTAGTAGTAGTAGTAGTCTTCGCAATCGTTGTACTAGATTTAGTATGTAGTAGTAAAAGTAGTGGGCGTAGTATGTAGTAGTAAACGTAGTAATACCAGTAGCAGTAGCAGTAGTAGCCGTAGTCGTCTTAGGAGGAGTAGTGGTAGTAGTCGTACTACTTGGACTAGTACTGGTAGTAAGTAGTAGTTGTAGTAGTAGTAGTAGTAGTAGTGGTAGTAGTAGTAGTAGTAGTAGTAGCAGTGGTAATTGTTTGTAGTAGTAGTAGTAGTATTAGTAGCAGTAGTAGTAGTAGTAGTAGCTAGTAGTTCGCAGTAATAGTAGTAGTAGTAGTAGTAGTAGTAGTAGTAGTAGTAGTAGTAGCAGTAGTAGTAGTAGTAGTACTAGTAGTAGTAGTAGTAGTAGTAGTAGTAGTAGTAGTAGTAGTAGTAGTTAGTAGTAGTAGTAGTAGTAGTAGTAGTAGTAGTAGTAGTAGTAGTAGTAGTACCGTAGTAATATAAGTACACGTAGACGCAGTTAGTAGTAGTAGTAGTAGTAGTAGTAGGGTTTAGTAGTAGGGGTAGTAGCCGTCGTAGAGCTAGTATCAGTAGTGCTAGTAGTCGTAGTAGTAGTAGTAGTAGTAGTAGTAGTAGTAGTGGTAGCAGTAGTACTGGTATCAGTAGTAGTAGTAGTAGTAGTAGTAGGAGTAGTCGTAGTAGTAGTAGTTGTCGTAGGAGTAGCAGTAGTAGTAGTAGCAGTAATAGTAGTAGTCGTAGTGCCAGTAGTTAGTAGTATTTAGTAGTAGTGGTTGCAGTAGTCGTAGTTTTAGCATTAGTCGTAGTAGTAGTAGTAATAGTAGTAGTAGTAGTAGTAGCAGTAGTAGTAGTAGTAGGAGTAGTCGTAGTAGTAGTAGTTGTCGTAGGAGTAGCAGTAGTGGTAGTAGTAGTAGTGGTAGTTAGTAGTATTTAGTAGCAGTAGTAGTAGTAGTAGTAGTAGTAGTAGCAGTAGTAGTAGTAGTAGCAGTAGTAGTAGTAGTGGTAGTCCCCGTTGTAGTAGAAGTAATGGTCGTAGTATTCGTAGCAGCTTCTATAGTAGTAGTGAAGATAGTACTATTGTTGCATTGCTTTTTTGTCAGCATTATCGTTTTGGCAGCCTACTGATATGATGTTTGATATGTGTGCTAGTCCTTTTACTACTGATATGATGGTTTTGCTAGTGGTCGCCTTATTGGTACTACTAGTAGCAGTGCTGATATTACTGTTGAGATTCTAACTCTTGTTATCATTAATAGTCGTATCAGGTCTTGGAGGCATTCGCGTCGCGCCAGGCGCGTCTTGCGGGGCCTCGGTTGCCTCGAACGTCTCGTCGAGCTGCGGGGCTTGCGCCCGACACCTCATCCACATCCGGAGGTGGTAGAGTGAGGAGGAGGAGGAGGAGGAAGAGGTGGATGAGGAGGAGGAGGAGGCGGAGGAGGGGGAGGAGGAGGAGGAGTAGGAGGAGGTGGAGGGGGTGGAAGAGGACGAGTAGGAGGAGGTGGAGGGGGACGACGCGGAGGGGGGGGGGGAGGGGGAGGAGGAGGAAGAGGAGGAGGAGGAGGAGGAGCAGGAGGAGAAGGAAGAGGTAGGAGACGGAGGGTGGAGGAGGCGCCTTCACGCCCCAGGACTACGTGCCTGCGCGTGAGCTGCCCGACTGCTTCCTGCAGCTGCGCTCGCACCAGACGGCGTCGGACGCCGTGCGGCTCGCGCTGCTGGCGCGCTACGGGGGCGTGTGGATGGACGTCGGCGGGGGGGGAATCAGCGGCGGGCGGAGGAGTGGGGAGGGACCTCCTTCTCCCCCCTCCCCCTCCCTCCCCTGCCCCTCCCCCTTGTCCTCCTCCCCCCTCCTCTTCCTCCTCCTCCTCCTCGTCCTCTTCTTCCTCCTTCTCCAAGGTGGATGCATCTCCGAAGTCAGTGATCGTTTTCCCGACTCACGGAGATGCCAAGGAGATCTCCCGCATGCTCCGTCGTCGAGGACTCCAGGTCGAGGCTCTGCTACAGGCTCCCTTCCTCGTCGTGGACCAGAGCTGTGGTACCCGTCACGCACGCCAAACACGGCGCAAGAGGACGGTCAAGCACGCAAAGCTCCGTGGCAAGATTGTGCGCTCAGCGGGATTATTGGAAGTATGGCATCACCAGCAAATTGGAGCATGCGAGTGTTGCAGCAGCTTGCAATTTTTGTCGTCATATCCACGGCGCCTTCGGCAGTCCGTTGGAGGTATTCGCCCGCAGTCTGGCAGCTGTATGCGGGACTGGAGGCCGTGGCATCTGCAAGACATCGTTGTTAGCCATCAATGAGTTCGGTATGGACCCAGGCATCAAGTACCCCCGTGATTGCGTGGAGTTCTGGCTTCGTCGGTGGTTTGAGAGTCCGAGCACCCGAGCGGGAGTACATCGCGTTTCGGAGACTGTCCTTCGTCGGCTTCGATCGTTTCTAGCTGCACTCTGGCCGAGAGCATTTATGCCTGCCGTCATCTTGCACCTCCTTGAGAGGGACTGGGGTCCTCTGATATTTGGCGCAGAGTGGAGGTTTCCTGAGGATAGAGATTCCGATGCTATGGCTCTGAACAGTACCAAGCAGTTTTGTGTGGATGTTGACCTGGCTTCGGAGCTCCTGCTAAGGCGCAAGGCTGATCATCATTTTTGCGGGGGGGGGGGGTCATTGACGGAGGTGTAGACATGACATCTCTCCAGGTTCTACTCCGACGCCTCGATCCGCAGGAGCACGGCAGACCTCTCTCGGAGCTTCTGGCGCCAGTGGTTGCCAGGGGGAGCTGGCCTCGCGAACGTCACGTCGGGCGCAGGCAGCATCACAAATTTCCAGACCCGTCGGTCGTTGAAAGGAAATACATAGCACCCCGCAACTGCGGATAAGAGTGAGGGGGCGGGCGCGGGCGACGCGGACGTCGTCGAGCTGGCGGACCTCGTGGCCCCCACCTTCCCTGTCGATGGCGCTCCTCCTTCTGGTCCTCCTCCTCATCCTCCTCTTCCTCGTCCTCGTCCTCGTTGTCAACGTCATCCTCCTCCTCCACGTCGTCCTCCTCTTCTTCCTCGTCCTCCCTCTCCCCCCCTCGTCCTTCCATCATCGTCCTCCCATTGTCGTCCACCCCCTCATCGGCCTCCTCCATCGTCCTCCCATTGTCGTCCATCATCATCATCCTCCCCCTCCTCGTCCTCCTCCCCCTCCTCCCCTTCCTCGTCCTCCTGTTGCTCCTCCTCCTCCTCTTTCTCCACATTCTCCTTACATCCTCTCTTCTTTCGCGTCCTCCTCGTCCCTGTTTACTCCTCATGCCTCCCCCTCCTTTTCCCAAGATAACGGCAGCGCAACCCTTTCTCCCACTTTATGCTCCCCGACTTCTCTGATCAAGACAACTCGCCAAGGCAAAGTTGCTGGACGGGCTGGTGTGCATGCGCGGGGCTTGAAGAGGTTGTTGCGGGCGCAGACGGCATGCAAAAATCCGCCGCCGCGCTTGTGCTGCATTGGTTTGTTCAGTGAACGTGGTTTGGGTCGCGGGTGGGTCGCGGGCTCTCCACCTCCACCTGGAAGGGATGCAAAAGCAGCCCGCCGCAGGCGCCGAAACATTTGGTTTGCACACTGAACGTGGAATGGGTCGCGGGTGGGCCGCGGGTTTTCCACTTGAAACGAATGCAAAAGATGCCCGCCGCAGGCGCCGAAAAATGTGGTTTGTACCCTGAACGTGGTTTGGGTCGCGGGTTGGTCGCGAGTTGGTCGCGGGGTGGGTCGCGGGCTCTCCACCTGGAAGGAATGCAAAAAAAACCCGCCGCAGGCCGAAATGGTGGTTTGTACCCTGAACGTGGTTTGGGTCGAAGGTGGGTCGCGGGTGGGTCGCGGGCTGGGTCGCGGGTGGGTCGCGGGTGGGTCGCGGGTGGGTCGCGGGTGGGTCGCGGGTGGGTCGCGGGGTGGGCCGCGGGCGCGGGGTGGGTCGCGGGGTGGGTCGCGGGTGGGTCGCGGGTGGGTCGCGGGTGGGTCGCGGGGTGGGTCGCGGGGTGGGTCGCGGGTGGGTGGGTCGCGGGTGGGTGGGTCGCGGGTGGGTCGCGGGTGGGTCGCGGGTGGGTCGCGGGTGGGTCGCGGGTGGGTCGCGGGGTGGGTCGCGGGTGGGTCGCGGGGCGGGTTGCGGGTGGGACGACGACAACAAACAACAACAAACAACAACAAACAACAACAACGATAATCCGCACCGCGAAATCCCATTTCAGCCACGCACACAGGGACAGTGAATGACCGTTCGGCCCCCTCACTCTGATTTGTGGAGTCCCGGATTTCAATCTATGTTTAAGCGCCTTCCTATTTCAATGATCGAATGGTTTCACCTTTTTCCGTCCTCTTCAGGGAGCGGGCGGACACCCAATCTGCCTTCAACGCCTTCCTACTCCACGCTTCTGCACACTTCTTCCGACCGATGGGTACGCAACAGTTGCCCGAAATGCGAGCGAGTACCCACCGCACTTGAGAATGTGAGTTCAATCGAGGGCCCGGGCCATACAGTCGTTCGGATACGTTGATCAGCCGGGCCAGGTCTCAACGTGAAGCTGATGAAGCTTTCTGCCTGCGGGGTCCCCCTCGCGCAGCCACGACAGCTGTACCCTCGCCCGCTGAGGAGGACTACTGGTGGCAGACGGGGCTGGAGGATGGCATGCTCGAAGGCTGCTTGGGCCTGGAGACCGACATTTCTTTAGTGGTGGCAATGACTCCCGAGGCGGCGTCCCTGGATGCCCCCCCCCCGAGGGGCAGCACCGCCCCCACCGCATCAGTCCACTGGCCGCTGACTGCCCACCCCGGGTCACACCAGCAGTGGACGAAAAGATCGGCCGTTCGGTACTACCTTCCTCTCAGCGGCGGTTAGCTGCGACCCTGGATGCCCCTCGAGGAGTGCGGCCGAGCCCCCTGACACATGCACCGGGGCCCGTTCGGTGTGCGGTGGTGTCTCCCCCCGTTCGGGCTCGTGTCTTCCCGCGGGGGCTCTGGGCACTTTTGCATCCCAGTGCTGTCTACAAGGGCCTTCCGCCGCCACCCTTGTGGGTGCCCCGTCCTCACTCTACCCGGAGCGGCGTCACGCCAGCAGGCCCCCCAGGCTCCCAGACTTGGCTGTCCGATGGCGACAGCCGGCTCACGGGCCGTGGGCGGGCGGTGGGCCCCAGCATCCCCTTTCCTGCCTGGCCGCGGGCTCGGCCTAGCTAGGTCTCAGTTTCGTCGCACTGCAAGCGCCAGAACACCAGCGGCGGTTAGCTGCGACCTTGGAGGAACCAACACACACCGTCTCCACAGCAGTTCTGGCCTCCGCGGTGACAGACCAGCCTTCAGCGGGGCTTGCTGCCCACTCTGGGCCACTCCAACCTGCCTCCCGCGGGGGCTCAAGGTACTCTTGCATCCCGGCGCTGTCCGCCAAGGGCCGTCTGCCGCCCCCCCCCGTGGGCATCCCACGGGGGCTCAAGGTACTCTTGCATCCCGGTGCTGTCTGACAAGGGCCGCCTGCCGCCACCCTCCGTGGGTGCTCCGTCTTCGCCCAACCCAGAGCGGCGGTTTGCCGCGACCCTGGATCCACGCGGGGGCAGCTGTGACTACGTGCACGACACCCCTTCTCTACACTTCAGCAGCGGTCAGCGGCGTCCCTGGATGTACCACCACACACACCCCATGGACCCATGGTTGCGTCGGCCTTCGAGGGGACAGCACTGCCCTCAGTGAGTCAGTCCACAGGCTGCAGACTGCCCTCCCCGGACCACACCAGCCGTGGACGAAAAGACCGACTGTTCGGCATTACCTTCCTCTCAGCGGCGGTTAGCTGCGACCCTGGATGCACGCGGGGGGCAGCAGAGACTACGGGCCCGGGGCCCCCCGCGGGGGCTCAAGGTACTCTTGCATCCCGGTGCTGTCGGCCAAGGGCCGTCACTCGCCACCCCCCGTGCACGCTCCGTCTTCACTCCACCCAGAGCGGCGGTTTGCCGCGTCCCTGGATCCATGCGGGGAGCTGCAGAGGCGTCGAGCGCGAGACATCCCGCGGGAGCTCAAGGTACTCCACGCGGGGAGTAGCAGAGACTACGGGCACGAGGCATCCCACGGGGACATAGGGTACTCTTGCATCCCGGCTCTGTCTGACAAGGAACGTCTGCCGCCACCCTCCGTGGGTGCCTCGTCTTCACCCAACCCAGAGCGGCGGTTGCCGCGGCCCTGGATCCACGCGGGGGGCCGTGGCCAAGGTTTCGGGCGCTGTCGCTGCTCAGCGATGTGACAGACAAAGTTGGAGCCCAACGTCATCAGCTACAACGCTGGAATCAGCGCGTGCGAGAGAGGCGGAATGGCGAACAGCTTTGTCTTCGCTCGGCGAGATGTGGGGCGCGAGGTGCGAGCTGGACGTTGATAGCTACAGCGCTGGGATCAGCGCGTGCGCCAGTGGTGAGCAATGGCAACTCGCACTGTCGCTGCTCAGTGGGATGTCAGAAGTGGAGGTGGAGCGCAACGTTGTCAGCTACAACGCTGGGATCAATGAGTGTCAGGAAAACGGGGAATGGCTGCATGCTCTGGCGCTACTCGCCGGTATGTGGGAAGCCAAGTTGGATCCCACCGTCATCAGTTGCAGCGCTGAGACAACGCTGCGAGAAGGGTGGACTCTGGCAGCAGGCCCTGTCGCTGCCCGGCAAAATGTGTCAGGCGGCAGTGGGGCCCAACGTGATCAGTTACAGCAGTGGGATCAGAGTGTGGTTGAAAGGCGGTTAATGG